CTCTAGACCACTGATATCTATGATGAAATCAATCAGTTCCAGTTCATCCAACAGTCTTTATAAATACGGTGCCTTAAACTTCCACTATAATTCAAGCTATGATACAATATGAAAATTATTTACATTTACCAACCAAAGATAATTAAAAGCACCCCGAATTCAAGTACACCTTTTTTTCCCAAATCAATCATTCGGAACTGTAAGTGAATATTGTGTTACCAACATCTTTGACTGATGTATCACAAATTTAGATTGTGTTTACAAATCATTTTAGTATCCTGTTCATAAATATAAATATATATAAAACTTATTTTAAGAAATGAATTATTTACATTATATAATAAAGGTTAATTATTCAAATTCTCATCGTAATCATTAATCTTTATAAACAAACATTCATCATTGAACAAGAACCATCACAAATATTGAACATTGAAACATACAAAAATAAGCATCATTCATTATTCATGAGAATAAAATGATTTACCTTTGAATTGATAGGTGATTTTCCATCCAAATTAGAATGAATTAAATTTATTTCAGTAGTTGAATTATTTTTCAACTGTACTATATGATAAGTTTTTTGAGGAATAAAATTACTTACAGTATTGTTAACAGTAGTAACAGAGGTATTTTGTGTTGCTGTAGTTGTTGCTGTTGTGCTGCTTACCGCTTCCGATGATGATGTTGTCGTTGTTGAAGGCCGCGGTGATGAGCCAATTGCGGTATTATCAATATACACCGATTGCATTTCACATGTAATATCAGCTACTTCACGTTTCATTTCTTCAACTGTTGGCATTTGTACAACTAAACAACATTTATCCACTGGTATTGACTTTAAACACTCCATTGAACTTAATTTTCAGTTGGAAAGTAAAAATTTTGTTTTGAGCAAAATCAATATTCCTAATGAATTAATGAGGAAATTAAATGAAGATTAAAATAAATGAGTCATCGTTAATCGAAAAAAGCTTTAAGCAACGCTCAAAACAATCAATACTTAAAGTGGAAATTTTTCTCAATTATGTAAGTTTTAGACTCTTGTGAAAATTGTTCCACAATCAAAAAGTGTATAAGACATACGTGAATTTACACTATGGGGTTTTGGAAATTGTTGAGTTACATTTTGAAATCACGAATCGATCGACGTTAGACTACTGTTAGAAACCTGTAAGCACTGGACAGCCATTTCGTCCTGGCATGGGATTCGTCAGCAGTGCACATTCACGACCCGACCTAGTGGTCCAGTGGTTTTACGTTCGCGCGCAATACTAAAGGTTCTTGGTTCGAATCCTGCGAGTAGCAGGAGTTGTGGATGCGCACTGCTGATGAGTCCCATACCAGAATCAAACAGCCGTCCAGTGCTCTCAGGTTTACAATGGTAGTCTAACACTGATAGATTGATGATTTCAAAACAGATGTAAATACTGATAATTATGAAATCAAAGGTTTACAAAAATTTAATAAAAGTAGGTGATCATTTGCGATATCAGTGAGTATATTCTGAAGTGATCTTTTTCTCTCTTGTCATATTTATGTAAATCAGCTTTCCAAATCTACTTTAATGAAGTCTATTCTCTTATAAATTCACTGTTTTATTCTTCTATGTAACTAAGAATGCTAATCATTTAAATTGTCCAATGCAGATTTATGTATGATATACTTAACTTGAATAACATGTATTGGTTTGAAATTCTTATTTTCAAAGATGTTCACAGGTAAATTAAACATTTGAAATCAGCAATCAATCATTGTTAGACCATCATTAGAAACCTGTCAGGTGTAGGTAGTAACTACCGAAGACAAATGGGTGAGATCTTGCAAAATCCGTAGATATTAACACCGTTGGATGCCGGCCCAGTGGTCTGATGGTTAGGCGTTCGCGCACAATACCGAAGGTCCCGGGTTCGAATCCTGTGAGGTGCAGGAGTCGTGGGTGCGCACTGCCACTGATGAGTCCCATACCAGGACAAAACGGCCGTCCAGTGTTTCCAGGTTTCTAATGGTCATCTAACAATGATTGATTGATGATTTCAAATGTGTAAAAACACAAATCCCTAAAACTGAAAATACAGGTAAATTATCAGCAAATAAACAGATAAATCAAAACTGTAAAGAAAATCACTCTGACGATAGTCAAAAAGTACATGCCATTAATGTTTGAGTTTGAAAATAATGAGATACTTTTAAAAAATTTCCATGCGTCTCTTTTTAAATGTCAACTTAGGTTATGTGTGACAGGAAATTTTCGTGAATTTTATGTAGGCTTAACATATTAAATGATATGGAGAAAAGTACATCGTAAACACATAAGTATATACACTTCTGGATCAGTGTACACTATCAATAGTGTTTTGCTTACTGGAAGTCGTCTATAACACACAAGTAGTATAGTATGTATTGGTTTTTCCATTACACCAAATGTCAGTTATTAATAATGTAATTTGAAAGAAACGTAACATCATTGTTTAATATTTCGTTTGAATGAATTTTTACAACTTGTGATTTGATTTGTGAAATTTTACCTTAATATCGTCTGGGACATGTGTTACGAACGCATAACCACAGACTGCCTCGACGAGCTATGTTTTGTGGTGTAGGAGTAGGTTGGAGGAAAGTTAGGGGAGGCCAAACCAAAACATGGCAGAAATCCGTGAAGTCCCTGACAAGTGGACTGAGTCATGTTGGTAGATGTAGACTACCTAGTTTGGGTCCGCGAGACGAAAGTCACTAATGGTTGGAGACCTTGAATGACATGGCTCCAAATCGTTTGCAATGACTCAGGTGCATCCACTCTTTGTGTACTTTTTAATTCTAACCTTCTGAATTCCTCATCATCTCTATCTTTCTCTTTCTAAATTTATTTTACTGAATTACACTTCTCGAATCAAATCTTCGCTCCCTAATCCTCTCCATTGCTGCTAATAATTCTACCGTTGTTGGATTTGAACTGACAGTTACGTTTTTGTGCTGACGTAGTATGGCAACCTGTACTGATGTACATATGTACGAAGTTCTGAGTTGTATCTGTCTATCTGTCTGTCCCTTAATATCGTCAATGCGAATTCAGTCATACAGTAACACAATGAAACATGATTACATCATCGTAGCTATCAGTTATACTTTGTTCTAACGTAGTTGACTATCATGATTCTCTACAAACTATCCTAACCAAATATATTATTGAAGTTATCAAAATTGCTAACAGTTCTTCATTTACATAGTCCAATTAGGTAACAATCAAGTGTAGTATTAGGATGCTAATAGTTTCTCTCGTCAATAAAATTACCACGCTCAATGTGTGGTCTTCATGCTTGTTTGACTGCTTATTTCTGCTCTTTTCAAAAGCTAAAAAATACATTAAAACGTGTCGATATATTTTGACTCTCAGTTCGGTGTATAAATTGGCTTTAAAACGAGAATTAATAAGCGTTGGAAATATGCCATGCTTGCTGTTGAAGATGTTAGATCCCCAGGAAGCATTTAAAAAAGGACCTAATTTTGCAATTTTATTCTGAAATCATAAATTTTATGTTTTCGCGCCAAAGACGCGCTCATTTTGACCTTCAGCTTACATTCCCCACTCGAGAAATGCTTGAATGTCATTGATTGATGGATTATTTTAGTACACTATTTTGTGGTTCTTATTAAGGGCGTTTCTGTCATTTTATAAATAAGCTTGCAGATCGCGTACTTTCTACTTGCCAATGGAATACATTTCTCTACGTCTTATCAAAACTTCTTCCTCTAGTTAGTGGGGCATTGATTAGAATATCCTATCGTATCGCTGAATCATTGATCTTCATTCAGTTACCTATAACGGGGATATTCGTAATAGCTCAAGCATATCTTTTCCCCAGTGAAGTAATTACAAGGTCACAACTTATCACGAAATGATAACAACTTTTTTCTAATGAGAAGTGAAACTCTACTGTAATATCAAACATTACTAAAAGTATGTGATTGTTAGGATATTCACCAAATATCCTAAGAATACTATTTTTAGAACTGCAATCTTATTGGTCGAATTCTATTGGACGAAATTTTGATCGTTCTTACCGTCAGGGTCAAATACTTCAATGTTATCTCTTATTGGTCATCTGGACGGTCAATGTCATTCAAGTGTTCTTTTCTATTGGTCTTCCTAAATTGTCAATGTCACGGACGTTGATGCTTTTTCTCATTCGACCTTAGTGTATAAATACGCGCTATCTGGAAGACTTAATAATTCCGTTTCCCCTGCCTACTTCTTCTGTTTACGACCCAATAAACATCTTCCTGCCACGGTGTTACGTTCTGATTTCTAGGAGATTTGGGAAAGGCTTTGGGTCGTTTTGTGATATTTGAATTGGACGCCGTTCGGACTGAAGATTTACGTAGCCGCGTTTACAACAGTGATAATCAAAATTTAAAACATGCAGCATAAAAATTGGTTTTATGATGTACTATTTTGAACAGTTTAATTGAAGCTGATGGAAGTGTGACTATTAATCGCGTTGTTATAGTTTGCAATCATCACTTACTGAAGTATGATAGCTGATAAAGATTAGCATGAAGCAACAAGGACTGTTTACATAAATTAATGCATATCTGGATTACGATTGGAACAAAATCATCGATCTTGCTAGTAACATAATTTACCTCTGATTTGTAGACTTATAGTATTAAATTTTTGAGAATTTTTTTCATTTTTAACCAATCAACTAAAAGATCTTTTAGTAGTCTTTAAATAATCCTGAAATTTATTGAAAAACTCAGTGTTTTTTTTCTCAAGATTAGGACTAAGTATGAACGATCAAACATACTTTCCGTCTAATTTTTCAATAGTCAGCTGACTGTAACTATAGTACTGTGTTAATGAATACTTACAAATTGATACAAACTTGACATCTATCACTTCAAAACGTCTTATTCGCTAAATTCAGACATTGATTAGCTTAAAAGTGTTTGGATTTTCACGTTGTTGGAATTTCAGTGAAACAAAGCTTTTTTCTAATAGTTTAACACTTATCAACTGCTTATAAAATGTTTGTGTCACAGCTAAATTAGGAAAATACTGCAATCATTCATGATATTCAACATATTTAATGATGAGAGAAATAAATAATAAAATTTTTAAAAATTATTTTACGGTTCAATATTCAATAATTTTTAAAAGAATTTGTTTATCAAATGTCATTTATAGAAAAAAAAATCATAGAGTAGTATAATTTTCATAATAAATTTTAATTATTCTGTAAATTTCGTGCTTAATTTTGTTAAATTCTTCTTTAGATAATTTAGACAATTTAAAAATAAAAATTTATTAGTATTTTCTTATTTTTTTTTTTGGTGGCAACTACATTGAAAGTACCATACATTAACTTTTAATTTGTATTCGTCAAAGATCTATCTCATTTTTGGTACACTTGACAGCTTCTTCGTTACAAAATGAGACTCTAAAATAATGTTGTTTTAAGAACACCATGAGTCAGACCTCATACGTTTAAGTTTCTCATTGAACGCTTAATCTCATTAAAACCACTGACTAGCCGTGGAATGATACATTTCCAACTCGAATGACAGTTATTTAGTTACCTAACTTAAGGTTGATAATTGTTATGAGCGACGGAGCATAGGAAAATAATTTGTCCTAATTCATAAATCTATAGTGATGTGTACTACTGTTAGGATATTCACCAAATATCCTAAGAGTACTATTTTTGGAAGTATAATCCTATTGGTCAAAAATATGGCCGTTTTAACTGTCAAAGTCAAATACTTCAATGTTGTCTCTGATTGGTCAATGCCACAGACTTCGATGCTCTTTCTTATTCGACCTAAATGTATAAATACGCACTATCTTCAGAGACTTCATGATTCCGTTCCTTCCTGCCTACCTCTCTTCTGTACTCGACCCAATAAAC